GGGGGATGCAGAGCCTGATCAGCTCTGCGTACCTGCAAAGCAACTGTTGTTCACGCTGTCTACTTTCGTGGTTTGCTTCCATGGTCGTTCTCATGATAGCTCCCAAAACAGGATTCCCTCGCTACGTATTCAGTAACTGCAGCCCGCAGTCATGCAGCAAACATTTTTTCAAACATCTTCAAGTGCTTGGACGATTCACCTTTCCGTTGGGCCATTCCTTTACTCGTGGGAACTGAGTTAACTGAAAACCAACTGTCAAAGTGTATGTGAAAGGTGACAACCAAAGGAAGACACAGTTTCCTCGCACAGTTTTTGCTTCGCTTGGTGATGCACTAGCAGTAGAAACTGCCCTTTCTTTGCAACACAGCCAGGACTCGTCCATGAGGCACAGCCTAGGTGCCCCTCCCTGCCCTTCGAAGGGCGCAAGGACCTGCTCGGAAGGCCTCACAACACGGGTGTTCCGTGCGGCTAAGGATGTATCAACCTCCTTCAGCCGGCAGACCACCTGGGAAGGCATCGACACGGCCTCAGCGGCCTTCAGCCGGGGCACTTCTTCCTCCAGCCAATCTTGGGAGCCTATGTGCCAGAAGCTCCCCGAACTCGGAAGCGACTTGGCTGGAATGGTTGAGATGTTCAGGGAGTCTGGTAGAGCTCCGCCAAGAACATTCTTCGGGCTTGTTGATGGGGTACTGTGACCCCTCAGCATGATTCAGTAGTCCTTTCCACTTTGTGCATTAGATTCACTTGGCTGCGAGGTTTGTTTGTTTTGGGCCATGCTTTAAAATCAGATAGAAAACATCAGCGGATGTGCATCATTTGACGCATGTCAAAGTCCGGGACATTGGTCACGACAAGTCACGGTTGAGGTGAATGGCAAGTGCAGGTGAAGAATACCTTCATTGAAGCCAGCGACAGCGATGAGAGCGATATTGAGGACCAAGGTGTCCTGCGCCGCACTCACTCAGTGCCCCTTTTCTAAGATGTACAGAAGCAATCCCTTGGCCCTTTGGCATGCGCCTCAAATGCCCTCGGTCCATGTCAGAATCTTTGGTCCGTTGCGTCCAAAGTCTGAGGGTCGGGAGTTTTTTTTCAATGTCTGCAGTCCGAATTCAATTTAAGGCAGCGTATGCCTGGCTGCCCGATGAGTGGCTACGGCTTACTGCGCCATTTTGTGCTTCTGTTCCAGGAGAGCCGATTGGCCGCCCATACCCCAAAGCATCTTGGACGGTCCCATGGGTTCATGTTTGTTTTTTGAACGATCGCCCATCTTTTTGTGGTGATTGGAAGACATGGGGAGTGGGCTGGTTGTTGAGCCGGGCTAAGTCTCGAGCATTGCGTAGACGGCTTGAAGATATTTTTAGAACTGATGTACAGCTGCAAAGTCGCCGAGATACGTGACTCAAGCAGACCCAGAGACCACCAAGCTCCACCAGCTGTGCTTGCCACGAAGGGCAGCACTGGCTGGACAGGACTCGCAAGCAGAAAGTAGTGGCTGTTTGATGCGCTCAATACAGCGGTGTTGGATGGAGTTCGTTGAATACCCCCCATTTCTGTGACAGGCCTTTCGACTGCATTGTTGGACAAACTCTTTTCTCAAGGTGCTGATGTTGGCTCCGCTGAAGGCTCAAACTCAGAGCTGTGTAGGAATCCCAAGTTTGGCGTGAAGTCAAGTTGTCGCAGCACATATTTGAACCATGGCTGCTGTCGTGAACTATGAGAAGGACATGAAGCGACTTCAGGTGCACAAACAGACCCGTCTATGCAGATTCTTTGTGGTGGGCGCCTGCACACGTGGCGAGGCTTGTACCTTCGCACATGGGCAAGACAAGCTGCGGCAACAGCCAGACTTCTCCAAGACAAGGTTGTGCGCAGACTTTATGGAACGTGGAAGCTGTGCAGAAGGAGATCGATGCTCGGCCTTCATCATGTGTGGACAAGTTTACATTGGGAATGTTCACGGGTGTTTTGTTCTGGGTTCTGGAACCTCAACCATCGAAGTGACCAGAGGACGAGCCTTCGATTCACAATACCCAGAGAGTGGTGAAGCACCAACTAACCCAAGAGCGACGGCCTCCAACCTAGTAGCGTTTTTTGAAGGGGTGCATTCTGTGGAGCGATAGGGGATTGTGGTTACGATGGCCAGCTCTTTGGGCTCTCACCACCTGCGACTCTTGGCACTCCCTGAAATAATCATGGAAGTGGAAAACCACCTGTTTGTAGAGGAAAATGGTCATCCAATGGGCAATGTTCCACTTTATTTATATTTCAGAGTGTGTAACTCCCATCTCATTTAATCTGGCTGTTGATTTTCGCTGGCATGTTTCTCGTGGGGATCTCTCCTGGCAGCACCACTGGCTAAAAAAATTGTTGATGCGTCAGTATTCCTACTTTCCCAATGTCACCCAAGTTCATCTAACCCCACCACATCTTACAAAATGTTTCCTCCGGTGCTACTGTGCTTCCTGAATAAGCACCTTCACAGCCAAGGATGCAAGTTCGCCCATGGCAAGAGTGAGCTTCGCCCAGGCTCAGCCGTAAAGCTTGGCCGATTATCCAAGAAGGAGATGCAAAACACTCGGGCCAAGAGTCATCAGGACCAGGCCTCCGTAGCCATGCAGGTGAAGAAGACCTTTCAGCTCCAACATTCCTTGCATTCGCAGGCCGCCATGAAGCTGATGATGAAATCCACCATCGATACCCAGCCCAACACCCTGCAGCAGGAACTGGAGATCGATCCAGAAAATTGCCTGTGGGAAGCTCGCCTATTTGTTCATTCAAAGCTGGCCTGTGCTTTTTTATTTTAACTCTACTCGAGCTGTGGCAGGATCACTGCCGAACCCATTCTCAACTGCCAGGTCTAATCACTAAAACGGCTTTGAGTTTATTGTTCAACGACAAGCACAATTTAACTTTTGGGAAACTTCACCACATGTCACCGCTTTGGCCCGGCAGACCTTGTGACCTTTAGTGTCCATTCCGTTTCTAGGTCAAAAAGAAGTGTTTACTGTAATTTTTAGATGTTTAAGGCTACTTGGTGTGGACATCGGCTTCCTTTAACCAATCCCCTGCCTGACCCTCACGAAGCTCGAGGAGAAAACAAGCTTCAGCCGACAGACGACCTGGGAAGGTATCGAGACCACTCCAGGGGGATTCAGCCGTGCCACTTCGCTGGGGAGCGAGATTGAAGTGATGGGCACCCCGAGCCGAACACGACAAGAACTTGGCCCCTTGGAAACCGATGTTCAGGCCCAAAAAACCTTGGATCCCATATGATCCCATCGTGAATTCGTGAGCGGATGAAACTGGTGAATGGAGTTTTACTTCACTTTTGCTCGTTGCTTAGATGTTTAGGGTTTTTTGTTGCCGCATTGTTTTCTACAACCTGCGCATGCAGGCGATGCTTGTTTGTGTCTTTCCAACTCCAAGGTGAATGGCAAGTCCAGGTGAAGAACACCTTCATTGAAGTCAGCGACAGCGATGGGAGTGAGACCGAGCAGGACCAAGGCGTCCTGCGCCGTGCACGCTCGATGCCGCTGTTCTAGATGGGCTCCCGGGATTTAGGAGATTAAGGGGTGGTGTCTTGTGGAGAGATGCGCGAAATGAAGTGAGATTGGTTTAAGGCAGCAATAGGCAGGCATGGGCCTTGGACCCAGAGCTTACTGCGCCAAACTCTTTTGCATCAAAGAAGCCCAACATCCCCTCTCAGCTGAGCAGGCGACCTTTGACAGCCAAACTTCAAATTCTTGCAAGTCATAGGGAAATGGCAGGATCATTGGATGCTCAATTCATGATGCTGGGTCATGTCAACTGAGAGCCTCAAGCTCAGTCTTAGATGACGACTTCTGAGGCGACTGAGGGGTATTTTAAGTTTAAGCTGGGCCAAAAAAACTTGCCAGAGGTGTGTTATGCACTGATTTTTCATAATGTACAGCTTGTATAGGTAGAGAGAGAGAGAGAAGCCGCATGACGAACATCGGCAAATCACACAGCTGAGTCCTGAAGAAAGGAATCAAAAATGATGCGCGTATGGTTTCCTGCTTTGCTTTGTTATTCTGCTGCTTTGCCTGGCCTTGCGCTTTGCTTGGCTTTGGCGCTTTGTTTGGCTTGGTGCCATTGATTCGCTGCTACTGGCTTGTTGTTGCTGCCTTTGTTTTTGGCTTTTGTTGTTCAAGGATTGATGTGATTGTTGTTGGTATTTCTCAGTTTGCTCCTGCACCTACACTTGTTCCTGCTTTGCTACTTTGCGGCCGCTTTGCTCCACTGAGGTGCTTCTGCCTGGTTGGCTGTTCCGATGTTGTTGCTGCTGCTTTGCTGCTACAACTCCTTTTTGTTATCACGAAAGCTAGCATCAGCTAGCTGGAGTTGCTCTTGCTTTAGCAAGTCAAGGGCTCGCAGCCTCGAGAATCATGAATCACGTGAAAACTTCACGTGTAGGGGGGGCCCCCCCCCCCCCCCCCCCCCCCGCGGGTTCAACTCCCCCCTGGGACGCTTCCGGTACGTGCTATAGTGCTATGTTTAGGTGGCAGGTGAAGTAGGCCACTGTTTGAGTTTGGAAGGGGGGGGCATGAAACATGAAATTTACGCGAGGGTTCAAGGCTTCAATGATGAGCATCACGGGAAGTCAGAAACCAGGCGTATCAGATACACATGCCTTTGAGCTTCCTTCGGCATCTCAGTGCATATGGCTGACACTTCACTCGACAAAGATGCTCAAACAAACATACATAAACCAGGTGTATCTGATACGCCTGGTTTGTGACTTCCCGTGATGCTCATGATGCTGGGTTGCTTTTCTTCAGTCCCTCATTACATATACATGACGATCCAACAGCAGATTCAACAAGCTCACATGTTCATGACATCGACATCGATAGAAGAAACCAAACAAATCATGCATGTTCACAACGTTTTACCTCATGAGCATTTGCCTCACTCCGCTTGATGTCCCACCAGTCCGGATGCACCCCTGCTAGCTTTCGTCACCTACCCTCGGCCTCAAGTTGTTCTTTACTGTTCCCCACATTCACTCGCTCGAACACCAGCGATTTTGTCACGCTACCTCCGCCCTAGATGACGGTGCATGTCCTAATCAATGATAAACGGCTCATCGAATGTTGATGTATTTTGGCAAAATGTTGCAAAAATTAAATCTTCATGTTTGTTGAAGTTCTGGGTCCATTTGGCTTGGGGTTGATGCGATATATAGATGTAACGCATGAGCAACCAAAATCAAGCAATTGCTATGCAGAATGCAGTAGCGGCAAGAATAGAAGTAGCGCCCAGTAGCGCCATCCTCCGCACTAGCTATATATACACTGGGCTGCCGAAAGTTGCGCTTCTTGACTTCTAAAATGGGACAAACCCTTTC